CTGGCCGGGCCTGCCGGTCTGCGCATGCGCCATGGGGCCGCGAAGCTCCGGAGCCTTTGCGCACAGCACCGCCCGGCCCCCAGCGCAGGCGACAGCTCCGCTAAGCGCCGGCAGATGGCGCTGCACGCGCCCGGGACCCCTCCCTTCACCGCCAGGTGTGCGCATCCGCGCCGGCAGGTGTGTGCAAGCGCCCGTAGGCGTGCCCACACGTGTGCGTGCCAGCGTGCACATTTCTGCAGGCTTCCACGCCCCGGCCCGAGCTGTGCACGAGCGTGTGTCAAGTATTTAGGTCCATGCGTGTGTGTGTGCAAGCACATTTACATGCATGCACCTGCCTGTACACGGGTAGGCCTGCTTTGTATGGGCATGCACTTGTGCTTGCATGTGACGTGAGCATGCCTGCACATGCCTACTTGTGTGCATGCCACCTGTACATGCACATGCAGGTACACGTCCACACGCCCGTGTCCATGCCTCCACGCACACCTGCACCCATGTCCAGGCCCCCGCACACGCAGCTGCAGACGGGGAAGTTTTGATGCATGCCCCTGCCCGTAGGAGGGCAGCAAACCTGGGGGTGGGTGGGGGGTACAGGCAGCGATGCCCTGGCCCTGGCAGTCTGCACCAGTGGCTCCCCCGCCCAGGGCCACTTAGGACTCATCCAGGGGCTGCAGAAACACTTCAGCTCCTGCCCCACCACCCAGGCCTCGGGGCAGGTAGGTGCCCACTGCCCAAGGCTGGGCTTGAACTCATGGGGAAGGGGGCATGAATAATCAGGCCAGGGCAGGCCCTGCTAGGAGGAAAATAACCACACAGGCACAACCAGGCAAGAAAGAGCCAGAGGGTATGTATGGGGGGTACTGTCCTGACACCCCACCTACACTAGCGCTTCCTGCCTCCAGAATGCAGCTGCCTCTGGGGGGGTGGCAGACTGGAGCAGGAGCAGAGGACAGGGGGCACTGGAGCCCCCCTGCAGCACTGAGACAAAAAGGGTATTACCCCCAACCCCGAGCCCCAGCTGGGCACAGAGAGCAGGAGCCACGGGGGGAAAACACCAATACTTTATTGATGAGAGTCACAGTTCACAGCTGGGGCCCGAGTGATGCCTCTCTCCTTGCAGGACCTGAACCCGCCTCCAGGGACCCCGGATGGCCCCATGCCCCCGGCAGGCTCCAGCAGGGGGGGGGAGGAGGTAATAAATAATACAGAACTGGCAGGGGGGGATGGATGGAGAAGCTTGTGGACACGGGCACTGCCGGCTAGGGGGTGCTGGACCCATGTAGGGGGACAGGGGGATCCACCAGGTGGGAAAGGGGAAAGCAAAGGGCCCCTCTG